TCAATCCCATTCTGGACCTTTCACAAGTGCCTTGCTGTGTTGCCATGTTAATAACTTCATGTCCATCATTTCATTTCATGGATTGACAGATTGGCCATTTCTGAGGTGAAGTTTCCCTCCTGTCTTTCATGTGATCTCCCTGAACGTGAATGCTAAGTCAGAGGATGTGGCTACACTATGCCCTTAATAGAGATGGCTATGTGGCTACCAATGGAGCTGTTCCAGTTCTCAAGGACTAGCATATGAGAGAGGGCTGCACTGCTACTCTAGTGCATGTCTTAGGTTCCTGATTCTAAACTTAATACTCCTGATTTCTGAAGGGGCTTGAGGCCCCCTAGGAGGCAGAAGGTGATAGAGGGTGAGGTGGTCACTGGGGAGGCCCCTGTGAAGAGAGGGAACTGTTGAGGTGTCCTAGGAGGTCTTGATGTATGGATGAGCCTGTCTTCTCAGACCACCCAGCCCTGCTCTCCCTCCTGGTCTAGAGGTGGGCCTAGCAAATCTAAGAGTGTTTCCTTAGTGCCAAAGTGGGCCTGCCCATGGTTGTCTCCCATGGAAGAATGTAATTCAGACCTGTTTCCTGGCCTCCTAGGGGGAGGAGGTGCTCAGGGCCAGTCTCAGCCAACTGGGCTTCAGGGCCATGCCTCCCATGCCCAGGAATCCAGCCCAGAGCTCTGGCCTTCCAATGTACTGCCTTTCCTTAGGCTTTGAGGCAGAAGTTCCAGTACGCGTCCAGGGAACTGTGGGCTTAGGCCTGCCTAGGTGTCCAGAGCAGTACCCACATGACTCTCCTACCTGAATCCAGCCCTCAGCAGGCTCCTCAGTACTGCTGTCCAGATCTGAGCATAATTAGAGAGAAAACTAGGGCACATGGAAAATCCAAGTGGCCCTCACTGCAAGGTCTCTTCATGGGTGACTCTCTGGTGGCCTTGGCCAGGGCTTAAGGTTGTCAGGAGGATAAGGGCAGTTACTCCGGGCCATATGGCTGCCTTCCCTCCTGTATTCTTCCTAACTTTCTTATTTCCCAGGAGAGGCGCCAGAGCCTGTCTTGTCAACCTCAGTTTCCCTAGAGTTGAGCTAGATGCTCTGAGGTCCTCTAGCTTGATAAAGACCCTGAACCTATGCTGCAGTCTGGCCTTTGGGTCTAGATTCCAGACTGCCTTTGTGGACTTTGGTTGAGAGACTGAGGTACCTTTCCAAGGTCACACAGCAAGCTAGTGGCAAGCCAAACTCGTGCAACCCTGCTGTCCTGAACATGGCAATGAGATGACAAGAATGTAAATGCAAGCCCCTAGCCCTCTACTGTGAGGTGCCTCAGGCTAAGAGGAGGCTGAAGCAATGAAGTGTCAGGTCTTCTGGCCAGCCTGTCTCAGCAACCCCATGTTGCTGTGTACCCCACAGACCCTACTGTCAGTCACAGAGGAGTGGCCTTGAGAACCCTAAGCACCTGTGTGGTTTGCTCAAGGGACAGGAGCTCAGAGCCTCTGGGGACTAGATTTTGGGATTTCTCTGGGCTGAAACCACCTTTGGTCCCTGGCCCCACATCAGCTGAGCCCAAATCACAGGGCCACCCTCCATATCCTGAGGTAATTTGGCAACTTCATTCAGTCACACTGACTGACCTTCAGGCTGAAGTGGCCCTCAAGGTGGAAAGGAGCAGGGTGTGACCTGGAAATCCTAGGGCAAGGAATGGGGGTGGGCAGGGCTGTAGTGGACCTGTGTGCTGACTGTGGACACAATCCAAAGCTTTACAGCTGAGCAAGGTCTGTCCATGGGTAGATGTTGCAGACTGTGGGCAAGCCTGGCCTGAGCCAAGTTGTGGTTGCAAATTGATACCTAATTATATTTCAAACAGGTTATTGGGGGAGAGTATAGCTCTAGTGGTAGAGTCCATTCCTAGCATGCACAAGGTCCTGGGTTCAGTCCCCAGTACCTCCTTAATTAATTAATTAATTAATTAATAAACCTAATTACCGCCCCCCCCAAAACAGTTATTTATCTTTCCTGGTTTGGGGAAGAAGCTCGTGGTCTGAGAGGTTTGGATTGTAGGAGGCTGTTGGGATTGTGAGATAACCCCAGTCACCTCTAATGAACTGTTCAAATGATCAGAATTTGGGTTAGCATTGAGACCAGGGAGTCAGAGTTGGTAGCCTAGTCTAGCAGCATTTCAGGACCTAAGGAACTGGCAGATTCCCCACAAGCAGGGCCCTGTGCTCTGAGGGTGTGAGGATGTTAATAGTCAGGGAGGCAGCTCTTATGCCAAGGAGACACTGGAGGGTGTTGAGAGGGGCTTTGCAGGTCAGGAGAGGGGCTTTAATTTGAAGTCAGATAGCTCTTTGCTAGTTTAGAAGAAGCTAGGGGGTTGGCGATGTCCCTGGGCCCTGTGGGCAGCCACCTGGTCCAGTTCCTCTGTGGTGCCCAGGCCTCGGTGAGTAGCCTGAAATCCCCCATTGCCCTGAGCCATTTACCAGGGCTGACCCTTCTGTGGCCACATTGGGTCCTCGGTTGGTAGTGATGGGGATGAATTAGACTTAGGACTCCCCAGGAACTGTAGTAGAGCCCTAAGGAAGGAGGGCCTTGGGCCCTTGGGTTGGAGGTGGATGCGTACTGAGTGAGGCTGGGCAGAGGAGTCTGGGAAAGGATCTGATTTGAGTGCTGAAGGACACAGGGAGAAGAGGGGCAGTAGTAACAAGCTGCACTGACATTGATGGAACCCCCACTGTTTGTCCACTGGCACTAGGAGGTACAACAGAGGGGCAGATGAGGTGGGATTCCCACCTGCCCTGCTGAGCTTCTCCTCCTGAGAGACCCCTGGCCCTCCAGGTCAGGAACCCTGGTTATTGAGCCATCAACCCCAGCCCCCTGCCCCTTCCAGTCTGTCAAGGCCCCAGGCGGACGAGACTCTGTCACAAGTCTTAACAGCATTTCCATACTCCAGCTTTATTGAAGCAGCAGATGCTGATGAATCAGTTACAGGAATATTTCCTCAAGCACACCTCCTGCCCCCATTACCCACCCTAAGCCTTGTCTTCTGGCCCAGGGCCAGCAAACTCTCACACTCTGGCTGTAAATTGTTCCCAAGATTCCTCCAATCCCATTTCCTACAGTTCTAACTACTGGGGCACCAGCATGTGAGATGAGGTCTCAGAGGATGTCCTTGATCATTTTACAAGATTTCCATCCTTCTATAGATATGACAACCCTCCGTAAGGCTTCCTTGAACTTTGAGAAATTACTTGTCTCAGTAGTACACTTCTTGTGTGATTCTGTTGGCTAAATAAGAAATACATATTTATGTTTTTAGCAGAAACAAAAACAACAACAACAACAACAACAACAACAACAACAACAACTCTGTTCTCCCAGCTACTAGGGTCCTGTAAACCCTCCATCCCCCAGGAGGTGACTTGAGCAGGCCCTCCCCATCTGTCTTAGGAGGGCACTGGGAGCTCTGGTGAGTGTGGAGCCCTGGGTCTGAGGACCATCCATAGCTTTGGGGAGAGAGTCAGCATGGTATAGGCAGGTCCCACAGCTGCCCAGGGCAAGGACAGGAGGATAAACAGGGTGGGAGGACATAGGAGACAAAGATCGAGGTGGGTAGAGAGAGAGGGCCACCTCAGTCATTTCCCCACAACATGTCCCCCTAAGCCATTGCCCATACCCCCATCATGGGCTCCCAGTGGAGCTCATTACCCCAGAAGGGGCCCCAAGGGCAGGGCAAGCCAGAGGCAGCTTAGACTGGCCATCCAGCCGGGGTTGGCACTGAGTGGCCATTCTCTCTCCCCAGGCTAAATCCACAACCAGCTCTGCCCTGACCTGTTCCATACTGACCCCTGTGCACAAGGGCTTTGCAGAGGACAAGACAGAAATCTCTAGAACAACCCCTGAATCCCCACTCTCCTAAGCCCCAGCCCCTGTCAGTGAGTGGACTTCTTCTGGATCAGGAAATAGTACCTAAAGTCTCACATGTGGCAAGTGCGGGCCATAAAAAGCCCTTTGTCCCGCTGGGCCTCTGGCTGTGATTGCAAGAGGAATGATGTCTCAGCTTCCCCTAAGAGCAAACAGAAACTTACTTGCAACTTTGGGCAGATTTTGGTGAGTTCATCCATGTCCTTATAAACCTTTTCTATGTGATAGTCCTCTTTATATTTCCGAAAGATTTCCTTCAGGGTGGAGATGAAGTCCTTTATAAACTCCCCATAGCAGAGCTCCTGAAACAGAGTCGGGGGCATTGAGTTGGTGGTGGTACTGGCTGACCCCAAATTCATCCATCCCTGGTTACCCTGGCCAAATGGAGCCGTAGACCCAAATTCAGGCCCTACCCTCCCACAGGAGACCTGTTGGCCCTGCAAGCTTTGCAATGGGTATCTGGTCTCTCCTCAGGCACAGGGCTGCTCTGGGACGATGATTAGAGAAAGCAGAAAATCCGAGGATCTAGCCGCTGGTGCATCTGCTGGCTGAGCTGGAGACTCTGTCTTCAAACTCTCAGCTCTCTCCCCAAATTTCTTGACCCAGCATCTTTTGTTCTTTGCCCTGGTGCCAACTGGAGTGATATCTTTCAAAAGCGGTCAGATGTGACCATGGGGTGATTGCTCCTTACCTCACTGGTGTTCTGGGGCCTTTTGAAGGAACCCTGGAAGCAGGAAAAGTTCGTCAGAAGCACAGCTTTTGTCAGAGGTCCCTGAGAGCAAAGTGATGTTTGATGAAGACCCAGACTTACGTTGTATATAATGTTGTCAGCTGTAAGTTCTTTCTGAATCTCAGCGCAGACTGCCGTGTGATTGTCCTGGAGAGATGTGCTGGCCATCTTCATTCGGGCGGAATGGCTTTCCAAGCCCCAGAGCACACAAGCCAGGAGCACATACAGGTACATGATACGGCTTGAGGGTAGCTCTAAGCTGATCTGAGCCCTGGGTTTGGTAGCATTTCTGTGGGGAGAGTTACCTATATATATGAGTCTAAGGAAATGCTAAAGCTCTTATCAGTTATCGCTGGTTTATGTGGAAGACAGAAAGGACCTACCTTATCTCTGGGCAAGATATGTTTTTCTATGACTACAGCACTCTTAGTGGATTTTTGTCTTTGCTGAAATTCAGACTTGGTCTAAGAATTTTTATTCATAATCACATCTCAGTTCATGATCTTTCTGCCTATATATGGGGCAGGTCTTTGGCCAGGACTGGCACTGTCTGCAGGTGATGGCCAGAGCAGAGAGAGCAAGTGGGGTGGAAAAAGCCAGGCAGGAGCTAAAGCGGTACCAAGCGAGCTTCCCCTGCCCCACCCATCAAGGAGAAGCCTGGCCTCACTGCCCTCTTGACACTTAGGGACATACTTACTTCCTCACAGACCCCAGGAGGGACGCAGGAGGATGGGTTCAGGAACAAGAGCTCTGGCCTTACTGGCAAAGCAAGGGGAAGAAGGAGAGCTGCTGTTTTCTCAGCCTGAAGGACATGAATTTGGGGGGAAAGCGCCACATTGCATGTGAAATTTCATGTGAAAACAAAAACCAGCTCAAAAAATGCCACACTAGAGCCATATATTAACAAATTTTGAACTTACATTCTGACTCTCAAAAGATTAAGATCACCCATTTTGGGGAAAGTTTGGTAAATATGCTGAGCTCTGACCCCTGTGGTTTGGTTTCTTTTTCCCTGAACAGCTAGTCTATCTGCTTGTTCATGCTGGGAGTGGTTGAAGCCTGGAGTGTGAGGGGCAAGGCCCAGCCACAGTTCTAGGCCTCTGAGGGGCACAGGTGTTTTGCTTGATGCTAGGACAGGCCCATTCAACAATGACCAGCCAAGCCCCAGGAATCCCCTACCTGCCCAAGAAGGACGATGCCCCTTTTCTGGAGCAAGCTTCCCCCTGGCTGGGTTACTTGGACTTCCAAGTGAACCTGGAAACCTCTCTCTGGGGTAGGAACCCTTGAGCATCCAGGGAAGCATGTTCAGATGTGCAGAACGCTACACACAGGCCTATTCTCACCACCTGTGTGCTCTGACAGCACTGCCCCTCCAACTGCCCCGACTGGCTGCAGGCCTCTGCCTCCTCCCCCAACTCCCAGCTTCCTCCTCTCCCTGCCCTGTTGAGGGAGGAGCATCTCCAGCATTTGCTTATGGTTGAAAACAAACTGTAAAACTGCACAAGTAAGAACAGATTTTTAATAATTTATTATTATGTAAAACATCTTGAAATAAATATGGAGTGTGAGCTTAAATAAATAAATAAATAAATATTAAAATACATAAATATATAAATAAATATTACTGATCCCTGCCAGTGTACGACAGCTCCCATTCCCCTACCATGGCTGTATCGGGGTCGACATGACCCAGAGCAATCTGTGGCCCCTACAGCCCTGGCCCCCACTGTGGTCCCTCCAAGGTGAAGATCCTGAGTTTTGTTTGGCTCTTTGTGGGTAGGAGGGCAGCAGTCTGTGAGGTAAGCTCCCAAGCTGACTTCTGGCTGATCTGGCCTGCTTCACTTCTGGACTGGCTCCCAGCAGTCAAAAGGGATGGTAAAAAGAAAATTTTTCAGATTCTCTTTGAAGCTTTTGAAGGTAATAATCTCGGTTTCACATGGAGTTTCCTTTAAAAAAAAAAGAAAGAAAGAAAGAAAGAAAGAAACTTGAGTCCAGGCGTGAGTGGGTAACGTGGAAGAAGCACCAGCATGCTTTTGTGCTGCCTCTTAGAACTCAAGAGGCCAGAGGGCCTGTCTGGCGTTTACCTGCTAACTGGGTCAGGTGCACAGCTCTCCCAATGGCAGCTGGGACCAGGGGCCTGGTAAAGTGCCAGCTAGAGGCTGGTCTGCTAGGTAACTGGGCCACCATCGCCTCTTTGTCCTAGGCCAGGGCAGGGTAGCTGGGCCCGGGCCGTCTCCAGGAGCCCAGAAGGGGCAGGAATCAAAGCCACAGAGGTCACTCTTCTCCCACAGAAAAGGAATGTTTGGGGCCTTTTCCCATTCCAGGTAAGCCTCTGTCCTTGCTCCCAGGCAACCCAGGCACTCTATGAGGAGCCAGAGGAAAGTCCTTTTGGAAGGTGACACTTGGGCCCCGGAACTTCCTCTGGGCCTTAGTTAGGCAGGGCGTGAGTTTCCTTGTATTTGCCTCACCTCTGACCGCGTTAACGGTAAGGACAGCAGTGACAGGTCTAGTAGCAGCTCCCGCTAGGGAGCGCTGTAGGCTCTGGAGCTCCAGGGCTTTAACTCCTGGAGTTGAAAATGGGCTGGGCTGCTCCCTCACTGGAGGGGCTAGTCGCTGCAAACCTGCTGACACAGAAACCCTCTGGGGTCCTGAACACCCACAGCCAGAGTTCTCTCCCTGACCATCCCTCCACCCTCCTAGAATGAGACCTTCCTGCTTGGGGACCTGATGTGGCCACTCACCTCAGTCGGGGGGCAGTGCTGCTTGTAGTGGCTGGCCATCAAGGTCAAAGGGCTCTTGAGCGAAGTGAGGCTGCCCCGCAGGCCCTGCCTGTACAGCCCCAGGCGAGTCTGCAGGCATGTCGGCTCCTGTGGGAAATGTCCGTTCCTTGGTGAGCAGGTGGCTGAGTGCACTCTGGTGGGCACAGGACAACCTCCCCATCACTCCTTTCTGTTCTCATCCCCATCTCCCAAGAGTAAGGCCTGGGAGGGGCACAGGATGATTTCTGACTCATCTTAGGCCGGGTCCAGTCATACATTCTGCCCTGTCCCCCTGCTACTGCAGGCACAAGTCTGACTCCTCCTCACCACTCAGCTCAGGCCACCCACAGCTAGCACAGCCACATTCTGTTGACCTGGCATCATAAGAGGGTCCCAGCTCCCAGGAAAGGAGGCCACTGTCCTTTCACCATTCAGGAAGAAGCAGAAGGGGGACCCTCACCAAGACCTGCTGTATGAGCAAGGTTTGTTCCTGAAACCTCTCTGTGTCCCTCTGTAGCCAGCACCCTGGTTCCACAGGACTTAGTCTCAGGGCACAGTGAGTGCCCAGAGCCCACAGCCCCTGTTCATAACAAAACCCCTGCCTACCCACCTGTCCCCTGACAACCCCTATCCCTTGAATGTTAGGTCTGTTCACAGCTGCTCAGCTAATAAAGGCGCTCACGTGACTGCCACTGCGGCAAGGCCAGTGGCTTCCTGAGCAACCCTCTGGCAGCTGGCTGACTAGCAAGAAAGTAGACAACTCTGTGAGGGTCTGTCTAAAATGGAGCCAACCTCCAAGGCAGAGGCCTTTGGGAAGGTGTGTCAGACAGAAGTATCTTACCTGGGGCTCAAACATTTCAGAGACGACTTCTACTGTTTCATTCTGTAGAAAAGGAAAATGTGTTACCAAGCTGACAGGCAGGGCAAGTCCAGGCCAGCGAGGTGGCCCAGGCCTGGGCTGTGCTCCCTCCCTCACTCACCATCACAGCATCAGTATCATTACTCTCGTTCAGAAGGCTCAGGGCCTCCTTGATGGCATCCACATGCTGCCAAGGCCGGGTGACAGGGCTGGGTGGGCGGGTGGGTGCGGAGATGCTGCAGACCACAGTGCCCAGGAGAAGCAGGTTCTGCAGCCACATCCTCCAGAGGACTTTAGCCTTTCTCTCTGAGCACTGGGCTCACTGGCAAAAGAGCTCTTATATACACAGTTAGAGGAAATGATTAATGGTGACCACAAAACGCCAGGGAGGCGGGGGAACTACCTGAACTGTGGAATCTCCTGGCCCTTATCAGCTACACATGGAACGGTGAGCCTTTCCCCCAGGTGGTCAGGCTTGGGGGTTTTCATTAATGAGCCCTTCCAAGAATTGGCAGCCCACCTGCCGGCCTTCTTGAGCGTTCTCCAGCCCTCCCGGACAGTCTGGTGCGAGGCTTCCCCCTCCCTATGAGGGGCCTCTGGGCACAGCTTGGACTTCCTGGCCTGGAGTGGTCGGGGCGGGGCCTGGGAGACACTGGATCAAGCTTCTGGCCCCTCCTCCCTCCCTGGCTCCCCATCCTGCCTGTTATCCTAAGAAGCCTTTGGTCTGGCTGTGCCCACCCTGGGGCCTATTCTGATCCCAGCCTTCCCTTCTCCTCCTAGAGCCCACTGTGCTGGCCACAGTGAGAGATTTGAGTATGAGGAAGACTCTCACAGGCCTGCTCCACTGTCTACCTAGGCCAATTCCGGCCAAATGGCATAGTCCTATGACAGCTCACCTCAGCTCCCACCGAGGACCCAGAGCAGTTGGAAAGCTGTGCCCAGCTGGGGACCTCTGCCCCACAGCACCCGTGAACAGAGGGAATGACAACCGTGTACATGTCCAGCCAGCGATTCCAGAGTGTTCCTTCATGGTGAGATCTCATCTGACAGCAACAATCCTGGTTTACACAGCCATATTCAGCTCCCAAGCTGCAGAGGTGGGTTGGGGCTCTCAGCTAGGGTGGGTCAGGGTCCTGAGTTCAAACCCTGCCTCTAGCACCTTCCCTCTGAGCTGTGTGAGTCTTGTCTCGCTTCCCTCTGCAGGGCAGACTGCCTCTTTGGGGTAGGCACTGCACTCCTATCTACAGACCCTGGCAGAGACCAGGCACCAGCAGGGTCACAGCTGCATCCACAGCAGGTACAGGGGATAATGGCTTCTCAACCAAGGTCTTCCAGGCTTAACTTCCTACATGGCCTCTGCCCCAGCCCACCTCCAGCTCCTGGGGCCTCCCCTGGAACAAGAACTGCTTCTGGAAAAGCCACAGGCTCTTGAGGGACTGACAAGTGTTTGATTTTCACAATGGAGTTTGGAGAGGACAGCACGAGTTTGTGTTTACTTCCCCATGCCATGAGCTTCGTGGTCAAAGGGGTGTGGGGTCCACACATGTATGCTTCTGAGTGTCTGTGTGCCCGTGTGGTTGATGTCTGTACTCACAGGTGTGTCAGGATGGGAGGCTGTTTTATATGAAGGGCGTCTGTGTAATCAGGTGCCCCTCTAATATGGGAGAAGCTCCTCACACTGGATATGATGTTTCTGGGCCCCAGAGGCTGATTTAGCCTAGATTGATGGGGTCAGACATGGTGAGGACATTTGCTAAGCTCAGGTGGACAGCCCTTGGAAGCAGGTAAAACTCGTGGTCTGAGTACTGTGGCCCAAGCCTGAAGCCCTGGCAAGTTTCACTGCATAGTAACAAGGTTGTTGTCCTTGTAGGGAGAAGCCTGGCCTTAGTCTTCCAGACCCCTCTGGGGTCCCTTCCAGGATCTGGGCCATACCATGAGGCCAGCCCTACCCTTCTGAGCCTGGTGGAGCATTCCTAGGTGGCCAAGCAAGATGGTGGGGGTTGGGGGGAAGCGATAAGAGTGTGGCATATCCAAGCCCCAGCCCTTCCTCTACCTTTTTCATGAGACCTCTGCTTAGCCTCTTCCAGGGAGCTCTCAGGGAGCATCAGGGGTTCAGAGGCACTAGATGGATGTGCCACACAGAGTGGAGATCTGTGTGAGTGCCCTGGATTCTGGGTGGGAGGAATGGACATCACAGGCTGAGGCTAAGCTTGTGGCCAGGGAAACAGAGAAGTGGTGTGGCCTCTCTGAGATGGGAGGTCACTTTCCTTTTGGAAATGAGTCGTCACAGCTCAGACAGTTAGTCAACAAACTTTTCCAATCTGCACCCAGTCCTGTGCTGGGGAGGAGATGAATGGGACCCTCCCACTGGCCCTTTTGTCTGGCTCTGAGGCTCTCAGTCCTGTGGAGAAGAGAGATAGCTGTGGTCCCAGCTAGGATGGGGGAAATTCAGAGGAACCACCAAGGAACCACCAAGGAACCACCTCTCCCACATTGAGGGCCCTAGGAGACCAGAGACCAGCTGCCTCCCTGTGCAGGCTGAAAGGGCAAATAGAGTCAAGTGGGCAAGTCAGGTTGTGAGAGAGAGAGAGAGGGAAGGCAGGATGGAGAGAGTGTCTTGGGCATAGATAGGCAGAAGGTTTTAGGAATAGGTATGGTGAAGAGAAGTCAGTTTCCAGAGAGATTTAGGAGGTATAATCTTGGTGATGTAACGGACTCATTCATTCAGTATTTTTTGAGCATTTCCTAGGTTCCCAGCAGAGGCAGAGGATACAAGGATGAGGGGGAAACAGGTAGGGCCCTATCTTTATGGACTTTGTAGCCCCATAGGTAGAAGAGCAAGGTTAATCTATTCGCCCTCCTCCCCAGAGTATACTGTGGAGTGTAAGTAAGAAGAGTTAGAACCACTGTCCTGGTGTGTAAGGTAGGGACTCAGGGAAAGAAGGAGCAGGTCTGCAGGATCTAAGGCCCACAGGCTCAACAGTTCAGAGGCTTTGTGGGCAGAAGACAGACCTGGGAGCAATCCGTGTTCATGTGATGACTAAGGCCATGCAGTGTTTTTTGGGAAGAAGCGCTGAAGGCCAGAACATCAGTGTTTAATGGCCAGGGGCATGACAGCTGAATGAGAGACTGGCCAGGGGTCAGTGGCCCAGGAAGAGTAGGATGGGAAGAGCAGGAGCCACAGGAGAGGAGAGGTCCATGCCACAGGGTGGCTTCCAGGCATGGAAGTTGGCACCCAAAGGCCAGAAGTCCATGGATTTGGCAGTCAGGTTTGTGGGCAGCCACACGTCTTTCTTTTGGAAAGATGACATCAGGGCTGAGGCTATGACATGGGCAGGCATTCCTAGATTGCACTGCGTGGAAAGTGGCAGTGATAACATCAAGCGGGTATGCTGACTCAGGGGCGCCAAAGGGACTGTGGGAGGGTGAGGGTGGGGACCAAGATGGGCAGTGTGACTCCTCTTTAGCCCCTTTCCCTCAGGGTCAGGAGAAAATGCTCTGGAAGAGGTTTCCTCTGAGTGTCCCACCCACAGAAACGGCAGCTTATGGCCTCTCCGGGATCCTTATCACAGAGGAAGTTATTACAAGAGGAAGGAAACAGGCCTCAGAGTGCCTCGCATCCCGTGGGACCTTTGCACGAGCATCTTAGCTGATCCCACCCTCCCTGGGCCTGCCACCCCGTGGTGCAGGTCCTTGTCCTTCCTGGGGACCTGAGGCCCAGAAGACCACTGGCCCACCCAGCCTACCCAATCAGTGATAGTAGAGAAGGAATTAGAACCCATATCTGTTCCTGTTCTCCTGATGTCTTCTTCTATCTCAGGGATCAGAAAACCAGGAAATGCTGGTCACCTGGCTAGACCAGCAGAGGGATGTCCCCCTTGGGGCAGCTGTAAAGGGAGACTCCTCCACGTGTTGTCAGGGAATCTAGGGAGCCTGTTACCATCCTCAGGAAGCCCTAGGGGCCAAAGGCAGAATTTCCCCAGCAGAGCCTGGCATCCAGGCATCTCTGTGTCTCAGGCTTGGACTCTCTGCCACTGATCCCTGGGTAGCCCAAGAAATTTTCTCCTCCCTGAGCCTCAGCTCCAGCATCTGTAAAATGGATTTAATTATTATTGTGTCACAGAGGAAACTATTGTCTATCCCAGGAACCTTTGTAGGAGTATCCTCCCAGGGAGGAGACAGTGCTCAACCTATATTCTCCTCTCCTCACTCCTTTGGGAGGTTTCTGAAGTCTAAACTGGGCAAAGGACTTACTTTTACTGGAATTTTCAGGGACAGCTACCACTTGCACAGCCCCAGCGCTAGATAGCATCTTTCTGGACAGATGCAGTGAGGTAGTGAGCCCAGCCTCCACACTTACGGGGTCCTGCAGCACCCTTGGGAGATCCCAGTGTGAGGACAGCACCATGAGTTGCTCATCCTTCCCTGAGAGGGCATCCTGGTCACTCCAGGCCACACCAGACTTACGTTTGGTCTTTGTGGTTGCAGCTGCAGGTGGAGCTGTCCTGCATATCCCGGACTAGATCTCCAGAGGTTCACCTCAAGAAGTCCAGACTGGCCAGGAGAGCAGTTCTGGTCCTGTTCTCTGGGTGTCCCTTGGCGCTGGTACTGACAAATCCTGATTGGTCTGGGAGGATGTGAGGGTGGTTAGCCTCCAACCATGTGCATGTGGACTCTGCATCCACACTGCCCAGCTTCCAGGAGGCTGGAGATGTGGCTGACCTCACAGCCGCCTTCACTTAGAGCTCACATCTGGTGCTCACATTGGGTAGGGGCAAGGAGGACAAGGCCCAGACTCAGAGGCACCACATTAAGGGCACCAACCAAGATGTACACAAGGAATGGACAGCTAGGAGGGGGCGGTCATGAAATGAGAGTGAAACGAGTTAAGAGAAGGCCTTGAGTAGATCTGTTGGATGTGTGTGTTTGGGGTACGAGGTGAGTGAGGAGCCTCAGACACTTGGGGTTCTGACTAGGTGGACAGCAAGGCCATTTGCTGTGATAGTGGAGACCCAAGTCATCAGACAGGTTTGGGGAGCCATCCAGACTGGACTGGATATGGCAAGTTAGAGAGGCCAGGGGACCTTCAGAAAGACTCAGCTGTGGGCACATGGAGGTCAGGGAGAGGTCAGGGTCCAAGACATTTGGAAGTCATTGGTGAAGAGGAAGTTCCCAGCACCAGAGGGCTGCACAGAGTGAGCCAATCCTTGGGTAATGCCTGGTGATGCCAACTTTTAAGGCTGGGCCAAGAATTATGAGATGTCCTTTTTCACTTCACTCCTTGGGCCTTGGGGCTTCCTTGCTGTTTCCCA